CAGTCCTGTATGCTGACTGTGTCAATGTTAGTATCCTGGTTGCGCTATGGTGCTACAGTTTTGTAAGATGTTACCACTGGGGGACACTGTGTAGAAGGTACATGGGATCACTCTTTATCAGCGATACCCAACCTTTTTGGCCTCAGGGACCTGTCCTGTGGAAGAAAAATTTTTCACGGATGGGGGTGAGTGGTTTCAGGATGAAATTGTTCCACCTCAGATCATCAGGCATTAGTCAGATTTTCATAAAGAGCATGCAACCTCGATTCCTTGCATGCGGGGAGTTCTCCCTTCTATGAGAATCTAATGCTCGCTCGCCTCCTGCTGTATGGCTGGGTTCATAACTGGCCATGGACAGGTAAGGGTTCGCCACACGGGGGTTGGGGACCCCTGCTCTATATGATTTCTTAGGACAGCATGTGAGTCCACAATTGTCTCCTTTAAAAAGTTCAATTTTTGTTTTTCTGAGACAGAGTCTTGCTCTGTTGCCCAGGCTGGAGTGCAGTGGCATGATCTTGGCTCACTGCAACCTCCACCTCCCAGGGTCAAGTGATTCTCCTGCCTCAGCCTCCTGAGTAGCTGGGAACACAGGCATGCACCACCACACCCAGCTAATTTTTGTATTTTTAGTAGGGATGGCCTTTCACCATGTTGGCCAGGGTGGTCTCGATCTCTTGACCTCATGATCCACCTGCCTCAACCTCCCAAAGTGCTGGGATTACAAGCATGAGCCACTGTGACTGGCCTAAAAAGTTTAATTTTAAAAATAGGATGAGATACAGACAAAATGGTGCTTAGAGAGAAATTTACAGCTTTAAATGCCTGTATCAGAAAAGAAGACAGCATCACTATGCTTCTACCTTAAGAAACTAGAAAACAGAAGAGCAAACTGCATCAGAAGTGAATATAAGAAAGAAGTAATCAAAAAAAAAAAAAAAGAAGTAATAAAGGTGAGAACTGAAACAGAAAACAAAACAAAAAAAAATAGAGAAAATCAAATAAATGAAACACTGGTTATTTGAAAAGATCCAGAAAATTGACAAAGCTTTCGCTACATTGCCACATAAAAAAGTGAGAAGAGGGCCTGGCTTAGTAGCACACACCTATAGTCCCAGCTGCTTGGGAGGCTGAGGCAGGAGAATTGCTTGAACCCAGGAGTTGGAGGCTGCAATGAGCTATGATTTTGCCACTGCACTTCAGCTTGACAGAGCAAGACCCTGACTCAAAAAAACAAACAAATCAACCAGAAAAAACAGAAAGAGAGAAGACATAAATTACCAAAATCGGGAACAAAACTTTATAGCACGACCTACACTTCACATAAAAGGATTAAAAGGCATTCTGTGAATAACTTTATGCCCACACATTAGAAAACTTAGATGAAATGAATAAATTCCTAAAAAGACACAAATTACCAAAATTAACTCAACAAGCGATAGAAAATCTAAATTAGGCAGAATATCTTGTTTTATTACACTTTGCTTTATCGCACTTTGCAGGCAGTGCATTTTGTTACAAATGGAAGGTCTGTGGCCACCCTGCGTCAAGCAAGTCTAACAGTTGCAATGTTTTTAACGGCATGTGCTCGCTTAATGTCTCTGGGTTACATTTTGGTAATTCTCAAAATATTCCAAGTCTTTTCATTATTATTATATCTGTTATGGTGATCTGTGATCAGTGATCTTTGATGTCACTACTGTAATTGCTTTGGAACACCAGGAACCATGTCTCTGTACCCATAAACGTTATGTGTGTTCTGACCGTTCCACCCACTGGCCACCCCTCTCCCTCTTCCTGGGACCTCCTTATTCCTTGAGAAACAACAATATTAAAAATAGGCCGATTAATCACCCAACGATGGCCTCTAAGTGTTCAAATGAAAGGTAGAGTCACATATCTCTCACTTGAAACCACAAGGTAGAAATGATTAAGCTTAGTGAGGAAGGCAGGTGGAGAGCCAAGACAGGCCAAAAGCTAAGTGTCCTGTGCCAAACAGCCAAGTTGTGAACGCAAATAAAAACCTTTTGAAGGAAATTAAAAGTGCTACTCCACCAAACACACGAATGATAAGAAGCAAAACAGCCTTGCTGCTAATATGGAGAAAGTTTGAGTGGTCTGGATACAAGATCAAATCAGTTACAGCATTTCCTTAAATCAAACTCCATTCAATTCTATGAAGGTTGAGAGAAATAAAGGGACTACAGAAGGACGGGTGGATGCCAGCAGCGATTGGTTTATGAAGATTAAGGAAAGAGGCCATCTCCAAAACAAAAAAGTACAACGTGAACCAGCAAGTGCTGATTTACAAGCTGCAAGTTATCCAGAAGATCTAGCTAATTGATTAAGGTGGCTGCACTAAGCAACAGATTTATTTCCAAGGTAGACAAAATAGTCCTCAACTTGAAGAAGATACCATCTAGGACATTTATAGCTAGAGAGACATCAATGCCTGGCTTCAAAGCTTCAAAGCACAAGCTGACTCTCTTGTCCTAGGGGCTAATGTATTACTAGCTGATGACAACTTGAAGCCAAAGCTCTGGCCATTTCAAAAATCCTAGGGCCGGGGCCTGGTGTGGTATCTCATGCGTATAATCCCAGCGCTTTGGAAGGCCAAGGTAGAAGGATCCCTTGAAACCAGGGGTTTGGAGACCAACCCAGGCAACATAGCAAGACCCCAATTCTACAAAAAATTTTAAAAATTAGGCATGATGGAGCATGCCTGTAGCCTTAGCTACTCAGGAGGCCGAGGCAGGATTCCTTGAGCCCAGGAGTTTGAGGCTGCAGTGAGGTATGATCATGCCACTGCACTCCAGCCTGGGCAACAGAGTGAGACCCCATCTCTAACAAAATAAAAATAAAATCCTAGGGCCCTTAAGAATTGTGCTAAATATACTCTGCCTGTGCTCTATAAATGGAACCGAAAACCTGGATGACAGCACATCTATTTGCAGCATGGTTTACTGAATATTTCAAGCCCAATATCAAGACCTATTGCTCATTTTTTAAAAAACTCTTTCAGCCAGGCGCAGTGGCTCACACCTTTAATCCCAGCACTTTGGGAGCCCCAGGAGGGCGGATCACCTGAAGTCAGGGGTTTGAGATGAGCCTGGCCAATATGGAGAAACCCCGTCTCTACTAAAAATACAAAAAATTAGCCAGACGTGGTGGCACACGCCTGTAATCCCAGCTACTCGGGAGGCTGAGGCAGGAGAATTGCTTGAACCCATGAGGCAGAGGTTGCAGTGAGCCAAGATCATGCCACTGCACTCCAGCCTGAGTGACAGAGCAAGACTCCATCTCAAAAAATAAAGGTATCTCACGCCTGTTATCCCAGCACTTTGGGAGGCCAAGGTGGGTGGATCACTTGAGGTCAGGAGATCGAGACCAGCCTGCCCAACATGGTAAAAACTCCATCTCTACTAAAAATACAAAAATTAGCTGGGCACAGTGGTGCGTGCCTGTAACCCCAGCCACTCAGGAGGCTGAGGCAGGAGAACTGCTTGAACCAGGGAGTCAGAGGTTGCAGTGAGCCCAGATCATGCCACTGCACTCCAGCCTGGGTGACAGAGCAAGACTGTCTCAAAAACCAACCAACAAAAGATAAACATATATATTATATATATATATATACACACATGTATTTTTTTTTTTCTTTTGAGACGGAGTTTCACTCATGTTACCCAGGCTGGAGTGCAATGGCGCGATCTCGGCTCACCGCAACCTCTGCCTCCTGGGTTCAGGCAGTTCTCCTGCCTCAGCCTCCTGAGTGGCTGGGATTACAGGCACACACCACCGTGCCCAGCTAATTTTTTGTATTTTTGGTAGAGACGGGGTTTCACCATGTTGACCAGGATGGTCTCGATCTCTTGACCTCGTGATCCACCCGCCTCGGCCTCCCAAAGTGCTGGGATTACAGGCTTGAGCCACCGCGCCCGGCCTATATTCAATATTTTTAAAAAATCAAAATTAATGAAAAAATGTCATGAACAAAATACAATGCCATGATGAGCCATAAAGTGATACTGAAGCAAGAGGGGAAAAAATTCATTAATACTGAGTCTGCCCTTATTTATATTTTTGATATTCTGTTTATCACATTTTCTTTGCATTAATTTCAAAAAAGATACTATATTAAAATATTTATCCTGGCTGGGTGCAGTGGCTCACACCTGTGATCCTATACTTTGGGAGGCCGAGTCGGGTGGATTGCCTGAGCTCAGGAGTTCGAGACGAGCCTGGGCAACACAGTGAAAGCCCGTCTCTACTAAAATATAAAATATTAGCTGGGCATGGCGGTGTGTGCCTGTAATCCCAGCTACTCAAGAGGCTGAGACAGGAGAATGACTTGAACCAGAGGTGGAGGTTGGATGAGCCAAGATCGCGCCACTGCACTCCAGCCTGGGTGACAGAGCCAAGACTCCACCTCAAAACAAACAAATAATTTATTCTAATCACTGAGTTTTTTGGCATACCTGCCACCCCCAGGCCCACTTAAATTTTGGGCATGAGGTGAAGGCCTCACTTGTCTCTCCCTGATCCCAGTCCTGCTCCTGATCTAAAAATTCCCTGCAGCGCATCTCTAGTCCCCAGAAACATTACTAGATAGATGTCAGTATCCTCTGATAAAAAACCAGATATGCAACCATATTCAGAAAATAGATGGGGAACAAGTTCAAGTGTTTTAGAGAAGTGATTAGAAATGGCTCTGTTCCTCTCCTATTTAATATACAAAAACAGCACTGTTTAAAAGAAACTCAGGAAGCCTAGAAAAAGAATCCCCTCAATCCAATGAGTTGTTTCTCCAGTTTGTTTGCATGATACTTTTAGTTTGGAGAAACTGCCTGTAAGTATTTTAACTTAGATTTACATGCTTGACTGTTCAGATTTGCCATAAAAACATAAAACTGAAAAACAAAACCATTGAGCAATTAAGCTCATTGTTTAATACCTCAATATTTCAAAAAGCACAAAACAGAAGACAATAAAACATAGTAGTGTGTTTAGCAAAAAAGAAGTCACCTGACTAATTTGAAGTTCCCTTTGGTCCCTGGAATATCCGTAGGAAACTCATCAGGTGTACTGCTCCCACAAGATCTATAACATTCTGGCCGAGGGCAACTTGGGTCATCAAGTTTATATATCTAAAATTTCAATTAAAAAGATTTTGATTTGTTATCTGCACAACAATTAAATACTTCCTTGTTCCACAGTACCCAGCTCACCTTAGCATTAGCATATCCAAGCTTGATTGTAATATTTCTTTCTAGTTCATTTTTGAACCTGACCGTGTGAACTCCAGAAATAGCTTTGACAACTGTGGATTTCCCATGAGCTACATGACCAATTGTACCTACGGACAAAGTACAAAAAAATTAATTCCTGTGTATTTAATTACACACCAAATATTTTTTCAAATAGTGTTAAGAGTAGAAAACCCACAGCTGGCCAGGCACGGTGGCTCACACCTGTAATCCCAGCACTTTGGGAGGCTGATGTGGGGAGATCACGAGGTCAAGAAATCGAGACCATCCTGGCCAACATAGTAAAACCCCGTTTCTACTAAAAATACAAAAATTAGCTGGGCATGGTGGCGCACACCTGTAGTCCCAGCTACTCAGGAGGCTGAGGCAGGAGAATCACTTGAACCCAGGAGGCAGAGGTTACAGTGAGCAGAGATCACGCCACTGCACTCCAGCCTGGCGACACAGCAAGACACCATCTCAAAAAGAAAAAAAAAAAACCAAAGCCATAACTCACTGTAAATATCAACATAGAACCAACAGTGACTTCAATTTTTCCTCTTCCATATATCCATAGCTCTCATATAGGACTGAACAGAACCTTCCATGTAACTAACAACTTTATTTTAAAAACATACTCTGGGCCAGACAGGATCTCCTGCTGCTGCCCAGGCTGGAGTGCATTGGCCTGATCACAGCTCACTGCAACCTCAACCACCTGGGCTCAAGTGATCCTCCCACCTCAGCCTACTTAGTCGCAGGGACTACAGTCATGCATCTCCATGCATGGCTAATTTTTTGCATTTTTTGTAGAGATAGCTATGTTGCCCAGGCTGGTCTCCTGGGCTCAAGTGATCCACCTGCCTTGGCTTCCCAAAGTGCTGGGATTACAGGTATAAGCCACTGCACCAGGCCAGAATTCTATATATTAAGGAATCTTCCAGCATTTCCAGATTAAACAGGTATGATGGGCCCTAACACAACAAAAAGGGATTTGTGAACAAATAAGGAAACCCGAGTTTAACAACTGCAATGGTGTAACTTTTTAAAAGCCTCATGGTGGAGGCTTTTTAATTGTGCTGTTTGTACAAACTCAAAATGTCCAAAATTTACACTCAGTCAACATAATGTCTTTTCTAAAGTTCTAGGTGTCAATTAAGAAAAGAAAAATCGACTTAATCACAGCTTGTACATCAAATAAAACTTTCATAAATTCTGCCCTTTAAATAATCCTATGTGGCAAGTATAGCCGCATTTTCACCTCTCCCTTAAATTTCTGATACGTATGACTACACACTGCCTATGCTATTAAATGTCTATGTCTCCATTTTTTCTTCTTACCAAGTCTGTAAGCTAGACATGAGCAGCATTCTTTGGGCTTCCCCCCACCCTGCAAAAAATCTAGCAGGTGCTTTATTCACAGGGACTTACTATCTATTTCTTGAATATCTGAATCCTCATATTCAGGTAATCACACAAAAAGTGAGGACAAAATTCATTGCTGGAGATCAAACAAGTCAGGTCTCTTAAGTTACTCTTACCTATATTAATTGTGGCCTGTCTGCTGATAACTTCGTGTGAAAGTGGCGTCAACGTGGTAACATCCTGCAATGAAATATTTTAAAACACTGCACATAAAACAAATCAGAACTTTTCCTTTGACTTTACATTTGCAATCTACGTCTCACCACCATCTGCATAGTTTTCTTCTACTTGTAAAGCGCCTTTCACTGATCAGTAACCTTGTACTCCTATGGCTGGGAAGCCGTAAGAACCCTGCATCATTACAAAACAGACTACACCTCCACGTCCATACAACTATGGGATATCTAGAGGTAAGAGGCCTCCCAATCTTGGGAACATTAGCACTAAAAGTAACGCAGACAAGACACCCCCTTTCCCAGACGTTCAGAAGCTAAAACCATGACAATCAACATTAAGACTTTCCAGCCGAATCCTCCAGAAGTTCTAAGTCCCAAGACCGTACATCCCTGCACCTTGATTGTGGACCGCCCTGGGTACAGGCGGCGCAAGCATGGCTTAGGGCGCCCGGCTCCAGGTCTCCCTCCAGACCCATGCTCCATGCTCCCGACAACCCGACACTAATCCCAATGCCACCCGGGAGGATCAGTCAACTCCACTCCCGAGTTCACTCTGCATCCTCCCCAAGCGAAACCTCACCAAGGTGGTGAGATCCTGGCGCGAAAGATGCGGCTGCCCCAAAGTCACTCCAGCTTCTCCTCCCGCCATCTTGCCAAAAGAGGAAGGAAATTGCCCTGGCTGCCGCCTGATCGGCTGCAGGGGTCCTAGTGCGGGGCGAGGAAGCCGGCGCGGAAAGGCCGACTAGGGGCTTAGGGTGGTCAGTGCAACAGCGGCCTCACTGCTTGGCTGTCTCTCTGCTTGAATCTGCACAGTGCCTGTCGGTAGGCTTACTGGAAAACATGGTGCAAAGTTGCGGGAGCTATTAGTTGCAACCCTGGTAGATATTTGTGCAGGCAATACTGAGGGCAGCCATCATACCCCACCCCTCCCCAGTGCGAGGCGGGTGATGCAACCCGGCGCGCGCGCCGGCCAGGGAGAGACCATTTCCGCTTCCTGTGGCGTTTCCCAAAACCTGGGAATCGGCTGTGGTGTGAGAACAGAAAAGAGGGAGTGTCCTCCCCGCCCCCGCCACCTTTCTTTTGAATACGGATATCTGTAATTTAATTAGGCGAGATCCGCTTGGGGGTCGGCGCCCACCAATGACGGGGCTCTTGGCTGGAAGAACACCGCGTGCTGAGCCCCGGCGGGTGGCGGGGCGGGCGCCCCCGCGCGGAAGTTTGGTGAAGGGCTCAGAGGGGCAAGGCTAACAAAATGAAAGTTCCTAGCTTGTTCCCAGAGAGCGGTTTCTAGGGCCGCGGAGGTGGGCCTTGGTGACGTTTGACTACGTTTCGAGTGAATTTAGCTAGGTGTCGTCACAGTGCCCGAAGTTCGCTGGGTTTTTTTTTCTTAAAGAAGCAGATCCAAGAAAACCTCGATTACCAATAAATCGGTATTTTAAAATTTAAAGATTTTTGAGACATTCTTAACTCACTTTTCGTCGTGTTAAAAAGCAGTGGAGTGATTTTTTTTGTTTTTCTTCATTTGTATACGAATTTTGTCATTAAGAGCTATTTCCTCTTTTGTTTGCAATAAATTTACCGTAAAAACGTATTAGACAACTCTTATGCAAAAGTATAGTAAGAAGTGAAAATATAATATGAAAGCCACAATGATGAATACTGAGAAGCCAAGCTCACTTTAGAATACTTATAAATAGTCATCAAGGTAGATTAGGAAATAAATATTATAAATGAAAAAAATGAGGGAAATTAGGGAAAATGAGGAACAATATGAGAAGTGAATAAAGGAATTAAGGTGATAACTTCTCTGCTACCTCTTTTTTTCTGACTTTTAACTTCAGGGCGCATGCGCAGGATGTGCAGGTTTGTTAACGTAGGTAAACTGTGTGCCATGGCAGTTTGCTGCACAGATCATCCCATCACCTAGGTATTAAGCCCAGCATCCATTAGCTATTCTTCCTGATGATCTCCCTCCTCCTACACCCAACCCTTGGACAGGCCCCAGTGTG